TCCCTCCCTCTCTTTGCCTTTTTGTACAGGTGAGGATTTTGTATATAAGTGTTTTCTGCAAGGCCTGTGGAATTCATTGAATATAGAGGTATCAACTGCTGCATGTTCAGGCGTATTATTAAAAAAAAAGTAGTCTATGAAAGAATAATTATAATGTCCATGTGCAATACTCTGTATGTGTATTGGTTCAAGTTACTGTCAAAGATGCGAGTTTTCCCCCCTGTTTGTTTTCTGTTATAAAAATTGTAGACCTATCTTAAGCTGTATTAAATCTCTTGTATAGTTCTCTTCAACTCTTTAAGGAATGACAGAGACAAGGATCATGAATAAAAGAAGAAAGGACCCTTATAGCACAGGCCATCTGCTTGGAGAAACAGGCCCTGCCCTTCTCCCGTTATCACTGTAACATGGGAGCTGCTGCAGTGACACTTCTTCTCTTGCTTGGCACACAAAGATCACATGACAGGCTCTGGGCCATGTGAGAGAGGCAAGCAGAGAGGGTCACACCATGGGCTCGGTCCATGTGACCCCAAATGTCACTGTTACCCCCAATCAGCAAGGGAATGAGCTGCACCACAAGGGTTTTCATGCTACAAAGGTAACTTGAGAAGCTGGCTGTAGTTGTCTTCTCAGATGGACAGAGTAGGTTAGTGTCAGTTTTGTGTCCAGCTTTTCACAGCCAGTTTTAGCAATGGTGACATTCAATTCCATTTTTTTAAGACTCAGGTGTAATTATACATACATGTATGTATGTATTTATACAATGATTTCAAAATATAAAATATGATGCTTTATCAAGTCGTGTTGTCTGGCTTACCATTGTAATAATGGGTCAATAATTTATCTGCATTAAATTTTAGGGCTGGGGGAAGAAAAGCCCCCTAGTTTCTGGAGTGGAAGCACAGAGATGTCACAAAAGGCTACATCATCTCATTATTTTGTTTTTATTCTAGGAAAATAGTGTAAAACTCACCCATTGGGTTTGTGTGGTAAGGCCAGGTCTGTGGATTTACTCCACAATTTAGCTTTGGACATCCAGGCAAGAACTGATAGTTGCTGCGTGGTCTTTTCCTTAGATGTACAGCAGCTTTGGAAGTACCAAGTGGCCTTCTGAAGCTACTCATAGACTGGCTAGAATGATGAACTATTGTATTAAAGTGCACTACTGTTTGTGTGAAATGAGAGGCCTTTATACGAAATGGGGATTAGCAATTCTTTTTTTAAAGGGAATTAGTAAATTCCACAGAGCTTTAGTAAGCAAAACTGTGGATTATGTGACTCTCTCACTCCTTCCTGGCATGAACATCACTAGCAAACATTTGTGCTAAAAATGCCCCACCGCCTGCATTTCCTTCTTTGGGATGCTAACTTTGAAAAGGTGATATGTTAGCATAAGCAGACATTCTGGCTCCAATCCTGCTCATAGTTAGGCTGCTTAAATGCCACTGAAGTCACTCACCTTGATCCAGCAAGACATCCACCTACATAAAAAGCCATCACAGCTCAAGTTACATCCCAATGGTCACCTGAGCCTTATTGGACTGACTAAAGGTATCTTTGGATGTGAATGGTGATTGCATACACATCTGAGGCCAGATGTTACAAAGAGTATAGGGCCATTAGGATTTAAATCCACCTAGCTGTGTGCAGGATTGAAGGCATCTTCAGGACAATTGAAGTCAACTTCAGTCATTTTCTATTTGGTTTACATTCACAGTTTTGTCTGTTGCCAAGAATGTTTTAAAAGATACTTCTTTAAAACAAGCATGCTGTTACATTTCTTCCTCTCTTGTAAATTATTTCCACACCATTTTTTGAAAAAGGTGTGCAAAATGCCAAAAAACAAAGAAACATTTTGAGAAATCAGGTTTCTCTCTCTTTTTATTTAAGAGATGCTATTTAATGGGGAAAGTTTTTGCATACAGTCAAAATGAGGCTCTCTCTCAAAGAAGGCTTCAATAGAAAAAGACCTCTTTTGAATTCATGTGCAGAATAGTTCTGGAAATCTAACAAGTGTATTCAGTTTTACAGGAGGGGGGTATTTTTTATTGTGAGACTTTCTTTGTACAGATTTTTTTTCTTACAGTTGTAATTTG